GTTATCGATGAACGTTAAACAACGTTGGCATTTGTTTTATTTCTATTGTTTTCCCGGATGACACGCCTACTGCAGTTACTATCGTTCTTTTCTTTATTTATGGAGAAATCAACTTTTGCGTTTTCGTTTCGAAATAATCCACTCTCAATATTATTTATTTAACTGTAAAATGAAATTTTTATAGATTAACTTCAATTACGACTTGGAGATTTTCAAAAATTTGCTCTTCTCTTGCTTGCTGCGTTTATTAAAAACAAATGCGTTTATTACATTGATCTGTTATCGATGAACGTTAAACAACGTTGGCATTTGTTTTATTTCTATTGTTTTCCCCAGATGGCACGCCTACTGCAGTTACTATCGTTCTTTTCTTTATTTATAGAGTAATCAACTTTTGCGTTTTCGTTTCGAAATAATCCACTCTCAATATTATTTATTTAACTGTAAAATTAAATTTTTATAGATTAACTTCAATTACGACTTGGAAATTTTCAAAAAAAATGCCCTTCTCTTGCTTGCTGCGTTTATTAAAAACAAATGCGTTTATTACATTGTTCTGTTATCGATGAACGTTAAACAACGTTGGCATTTGTTTTATTTCTATTGTTTTCCGGATGACACGCCTTCGTTATTTATGGAGAAATCAATTAGTCGGATTGTAAATGGTAAAAGTGTGCGAGCGAGTTGCGGTGGATGCGCCGGGTATGAAATACATTTCACAATTTTCTTCATTATTTTGTTGTTGTTGTTGTTGTTGTTGTTAAATGTATGCATTCAATTATACATGCACGTGTTGTTTCGGTGCACGTACGTACGTATGCGAGGGTTTTGGAAGTTTAAAGCCGGAAATTGCGGCCGGTGAACTTCCGGTGGTCCACGGACAATACGGCTTTATTATATGCGCGGAGGATTGGGGGAGAGTGAGTGGGTTTAGGGGGCGCTGCAGTTGATGTTGTTGTTGTTGGGGTGGTGGTGGAAGGGTTGGAGAGATCCGCAACCACCCACGCACCGACGCCACCCACTGTTGCGCGTCGCCCTTCGACCCCACCGCCACCACCACCGCCGTCACACAGCGTGCGCGGAGAGACAATAGTTTTCAATTTACAGTTCGTCGGGGCTAATTGCTTCTCTCTCCCTCACTCTTCACCGACAGAAATCTAATTACGTTTTATTTATTTCGGCCGTTCCGACGACGACGACGAAATGAATACTTTCCGAAGATCTTCCACCCCCACCCCTAATTACCAATGTATTGTTCTTGCCTACTTATTCACCCGCCGCCCCATCTCACGCCATTTCCACCATTTAAATATGAATTATTAAATGCTCTTGTCTCTGCATACATACATATATTCTTATGCGTCTCTTCTTTTTTTTTTGTATTCTCACTTCTCCTCGTACATTTTCTATACGATTTCATGTGATGTGTGTGTACGCTTTTCTCTTCTCATTTATTTCCCTACTTGATGATGGAAAGCGGAGATCGTTGGTTCTTTTTTCTTCTCTCTTTGCCGGAGCTTTTACCGCATTTCCCTCCGCAATTCTCCGAACCCTTACCCCACCCCCTCTCCTTCCGGGGGTCGTAGAAGAAGTGGGCAATAAAAAAATCTCCGTAACGACTCTCGCTCTCCTCCGTCCAAACAAGGAAGATCCTCTTCTCCATCCAATTGGCGGTGCTTTCGGTTCTGAAAATAATAATGAAAAAAAAAAAAGAAGGCGAGTAGAGAGAGGAGAGGAACTACTAACCGACGCACATTAATCTTTCACGCATCAATTCCTGCTACCGTTATCTATTATACCGAAATCCTCCAACGATTTCTTCAGAACACTTCAAAAAAAAAAAAAAACTCTGAACAATTAAATTTGACAAACAATGATCATACGTTTTACATGTTCCACAGTTCGACTAATTACGCTACATCCATTTTCCTCTTTCATTGACTTTCATCTGTCATTGTCCTTTTTTCTGAAAGTGATTCATCGTTTTGTCAATATTTTTGGTTACTTCCATTCAATAACTGTCAAATAACCTTTGACATTCGTTGAGGATTGACGTTTCTCTTACGCTATTTTCTGCTATTCAATTGATTTTTGTAATTATATTCCTTGATGCATTTCCATATTCAAATTTCGATAATTCTGATCGAATTTCAAATTTCTAACCAATTTGGGACATTTTCCCCTAATTCATTGTTTTGGTTTTACACATTTTCTTTTTTTTTATATAAAAAAACAAATTTATTGTCGCTTAATTTAAATTTCATCCTCTAATTCTTATGACTGTTGTGAATGTAATACTCAAAACAAAGAAAATTGACATATTTGACATATGACATATTTGTCTTGTCATATGACGTATGTCATTCACAATTCGTTTTTTCGATCACTTTGAATTTGATTTCTTCGGACTGGATTCGCATATTTTCAAGTGAAATCCTTGAATCTGTTGTACACCGATTTACACATCTTTACTCTTACTTTTTTTTTTTTTTTGGATAAGTAAACATATTCTTCTGACAAACTTGTTATTGTTTTGAACTTTGCGATGAAAAGTTTTGTCAAGCACAATCACAATCTGACGATATACCTGTATAATTGCCTGTCATCTGTTGAATGACGCTGTATTAGTTTCTTTGAGGAAAAACTGTCTTTTTTTCTGTTGACGTTGCATTGTTTTGTTCAATCCTTTCGCACTGCAAAGGATGAATTTATTCATCATAAACGACTCTTCTGCTTGAGCTCTGATGTTTCGAGAATCATTTCTATATTTGCAAATTGATTAATCGACAAGTTCGTTGATGTAGACGAATGAATGTCGACGATGCGCCGCGAAGAATGGGGAATAATCGAAACTGGTGGTGGCTGTGCTTGTAATCAGTTAATTGCTTTTGCGGATGGGCCGGAACCTATGTTCATCAGATATTATTGTCGTTGCTATGGTAGAGAGAGAGATAGTGGCGGAATTAGCATTTGACGTTTATTAGTGGTGTGTGTATCCAGGAGAGAGAGAGAGAGAGAAAGAGAGAGATCAGAGGCAGCGGCGGCGGTGGTTGTGTGTAATCTGCCACCACCGGTTGTATAATCTAATCATTCATGCCTACCAACCCTCTCCCATCGCGATCGAGATGCGGGGGTGGGATGGTGGTCGGCAGTTGCGTGGGTGGCCGGATGGTTGAAAACACCCACACCTGGACTCTGGCTGCGCGGGGCAAGCACAAAATAATAAATCGATAATCCACCATCCTCGACGCTCGCTCTCAGCGGGTGGAGGGAACGAAATGAAAGAGAGAGAGAGAGAGAGTGAGGTGAATGTCGTTTCGTGGCGTATGGGGGGATGCTCGTGCGCCCCGCGACCTGTGACACTGTTTTGGGAGCCGTAGTTGTCCCGGCGACGATTCACCCTTAGCCTCGTTTCCGTTAATTGAGTGATCCAACATAGGCGATTACCACTACGACTACTCCATCCAGTCACCATAAGTCTTGGTCTGCTTGTTCGCTTGCTTGCACGTAACCCATCCCCCCAAAGCTTCTCTCTCTCTCTCTCAAGAAGGTCGTCGATGGGACCGAGCGCCGAACCTCGCGGTACACCGGTCGACCGAAACAATTGTAGGTACGTTCGACATTCTCATCGCTCATCATTTTGGTAACCATTGTAACGAATTGTTCTCAGGTGTGCGTGCATGCATGCGAAGAAACTGACATCCTCGCCTCCCCCGATAAGGTGAGGGTACTAAATCCTCTCTTTCCCACCCTCTCTCTCCCCCAGAGAGTACAGGTGTGCGACGGGTAATTCGGGGTTTGGTAACGCTTTTTGCGCATCCGGCCAACCGTGATTTATTAATTGCTTTTTGCGACGTGTCTTCTCCTTCCTGCTTGCTGTTTGCTTCTTCTTCTTCTCCTCCTCCTACCATAGGGGAGATTATCAGCGCCCAGATGCGTTTCGTTTGTTTTGTACTTTGACAAGTGAGGGGGGGTGGCGAGCGGGCGGTGGATTTGGAACACGGCTTGCTGCGTTTCCCATGCTGATGCTACTCTTCCTACATACACACATATCCAAAGCTCTCTAGCATTTTGTTTGCAGAAAAACGTTAAATACACATACACGTACATATTATTTTAGGAATCTTCTCTTCGTATTTACCCAAGCAAAGTGCACGTTCGCAAAAATTCTATAAATAAAATTCTTACGATTCACTAAATTACACGAAGAAAAGAAAAGAAAAATCATTTTCAGGACAACAAAGAAAATCTCTGATATCTGATATATTCAAATCTGAACTCTTTCAACTATTCAACACGACTGGTATTATAATTTTCAGTTTTAAGGTCCTGAAATATTGAATTTTCTTTCGACTTTATGTTGCCAATTTTTATATTCTACAACACAACAAAAAATAAATAAAAAAAAGAAAAGGTTTGTCCTCGACAATTGATTGAAACGATACATTTTCAATTTTTTCTGTCATCACAGATGTGATTTTTTCAAATATCGAAAAATTATATCCATTTAAACAAAATAAGAAAATGTTAAAATAATTACTTTGTTAATTGTAATAACTTCGAACGTTCGTTGCTATACTTTCGTATCGCCTGATCTCATTTTATGCTTCGCCTTCGATGGAACAGCTCCTAATTATTGTGCGTTTCGCGCAAATATCTCAATTCGCATTTGACACCTGTCATCCTTCATTGATTGATCGGAGGTTAGAGGATGGTCAGTCGGTCTATGTCGGTCGGTGTGCAAATTACTGCTTTCCTATTACCGTTTTCTTTCGCACGTACTCGTTGCGCATCCACTACACCTTGTTTGGTATAATTTTGTCTCGCCGTGTGCCCATTATCATATGAATGCTAATTATCCGATGAATTGACATTTCAATTGTCAGATGGAATGACAGTTATCGAATGTCACTTTCTCTCTCACACACACTCGTATCTTCCTGTCACTGTAAAAAAGGTGACGATAGTTTTGCTTCGAAATGTTGATGTTAACATATGGATGAGGTTGAGTTTGGTTGGAGGAAGATGAGAATGAGTTACGAGGAGGTGGGGCAGCCGAAGAAATGAATATTTATAAAGTCTTCGGGACTGGGGAATGGGACGACGGCGTGCGGGCAATAAATTTTCTTGCGAATGAGAATGGTCGACTGAGACAGAGAGAGAGACGCAATAAATAAACAATTTCTAATTTTAAATGCGTGCGCGCCGCCGCCGCCGCCGCTCCTCGTCCGGTGATTTTTCGGTCATCGTCTTGCTCAAATATTTAATTAGCCCTCTCCTCAGCATCATTACTTATCTTTCATCTCTTTCTTTCCTCCTCCACCTACATACATCTGTTCCATTCACATCTCCTTATTGCATCGCCCCCACCGACCATCAATTCCCTTTTCGGAGAGGATGGGGGGGCTTGGGTCGTGATCTTGCGATTCGATTCTAATCGCGAGGTTTATGCGACGATAAAAATCGCAATCTATTCGAGTGGACCGTAGTAATTCGATTTGTGCGTGGACGTAAAAATTCGATGATCCAAACGAGAATTTTTCACTTGGGACTTCTTTTATTTACGACGGTGTTTCGATCCGTTCATTTCGTAACTATTCTCAAAATTATTGCAATTCTTCTTCAGAATTACCGTTGCTGGCGCCGACACAAGATAATAACATAATTATTTATATAAAATAAAACGGACACAATTAATTAGATTACTGATTTGGTGTTTAAAAGTTATTGAAAATCATCGTAAATATTGTTAATAATCACATACGTAACGAACAGTAAGAGACGTTCCATTGCTACATTCACAATCATGCTGCGTTGAAATTACCCGTTGACACGGCAACACTAACAACTTTTGTTTACTGTCAAATATGACATTCTAAGTACTGTCATTCTGATTAGAATATATGTGATTACCAACAACAACAACAACAAATAAAATCATGTAAAAAGTCTTAACATCGGATTTGCTGTTTTACCATCAACTTCTGCTTAAGTAATTTCCAATGGATTTTGCATTAACCGTTTCTTGATTTCAAGCAGACTCGTTTACTTTGCTAAGAACATCACGATTATTATTATTATTATTTCCAAGACAAATTCTATTTGATGTGCAGATTTCGTTGCAATATTAAAAGCGCCAGTTTCTCTATGTTCGCTCGTCGACCATATGAGATGCAATATTGATGTTCTGGTGGAGGATCCGGGTTTTGCGCGACCTCTCGCGTTGTGCTTATTTTATTTTGTTTATTTTAAATTTGGTGTGTTGGCCCTACCTGAATAAGAAACGTCAACTGTCATCGATTGATAATAATAATAATCAATAACAACAACAATATTTTTGCAGTGGACAGCAGGAACACTCCTATCCTGCGACCGCACGAGGATGAGGACTCGTTTCCAGTGCTTTGCGACAGGGAGCTGCACTCGCTGCACCGAAACGTCCCGGCGCTCAGGCGTCGCGACGTCGACACGGCCACCATCAAGCAGCACTACTACCCCGAAGGTAAACAACAACAAACAACTAACGTATATCAACGGTTACCAATTGTTTACTATTTTGTTTTTATAAAATTTTGTTGATGTCGTACCAACTTTTGTGCAAATGGAGGAGAGCGAAGCGAAAACGGCCGGAGATAAATAAATTTCTTTGCGAGGCAACAAAGCCAGAGATAAACGTTACGTCTTGGTCGTAATTGTCGACGAAAGTTTCGACAATACAGCGACGACGACGCTTATCTGCGCTCTCGTTACGGGCGCGCGCGGAAACTTCTGACTTCCGGAACCGGAAGTTCCGCCATTCCGACGGAACGCTTCCGACCGATTGCGACAATTATCATCATTCTCTGCGAAAATTGAAAACGCGTCCGTCTCCAGATACAAGCGCACATGTTAACATCTTTTAATTAACTTCGCTTCATCGATCTAACGGTCGATTCGAACTAATTGGAAATTGAAACAATATTCGTTTTGTTCTTTTCGAGCGCGCAGGTTGGTAACGATTTCGGAAATTCAATTCCGCCAACAATATCGCACCTTTCGCTCGCGTTTTCCGCACGCAATTGTTAGTGATTGTTGAATTGCGTCGTTGGCAGAATTGTCGCGAGTGCGCGTCCTTTTTTTTTTGTTTTTTTGTTTGTTTATTTCTATTGTTTGTTTGTTTGTTGGTGTGGCGTCAGGCGGATGGGGTTGGTTGGTGTGCGGGGCCGCATTCCTGGCGCACCTGTTGACTTCCGGGCTGCAGTTGGCCTTCGGACTCCTCTACATCTACACCATCAAGTTCCTGGTCAAGAGGCAGCAGCAGCAACAGCAGCAAGATTCTTCGCCTGCGGCCGCGACGTCCACTTCCCTCGACGGCGTCTCCATCCACCACGATTTCTACGTGATGGCAACAGGTATGCCCATCGAAAACATAAATTGGGGCCCCAATTATAAAGCTTCATTAAAATCCACGACCTGCGGCTACACTTTTATTTGTTTCTCATTCATTTCCGGTTGGGACAGATGGCGCTGCGGATGCGATTTCCTGATTCGATTTTCGCTTTTCAAATTTAATTATCGTCCGAATTAATTCCATTTACGTTTTGTTTCGACCGACGCCGACCGACAACAGCAACAAAAAAACGGGTGTAATTCGGTTGTATAATCGAATTTGCCGTCGCAAATGAAAGACCTCTGATTTCCGCTGGGGAAGAAGAGGCGCTCGAGCAGAGCACTCTATTTTTTTTTTGTGCGATTCACTTTTTTTTCTTTTTTTTTTAATTTCGCCACCGTAGATGCGCGACATATCGTCCGAATTACTGCAGGCATCGTTCGCTTTGATGTTCTCCCCCACGTACAGACCGGGGGAGGACAGGACGTTCCGGCATTCTCCTGCCGTTTCGTCGCTTTCGGATTACTACAATGGTTTTAACACGCAAAGCCCACCGCCCGCTTCGAAGCATTACACGTTGCAGGTAGATCATCTATCTGTCGCCCGGATTTAATGAAATTTCCTAGCGCACTGCATTAGCGGATATTACCTACACGATTTACGCCTTTGATGCATTCATCACCTACGGTCATTTCAAATTTACGCTCTTTGTCCAAAGAATTATAAAAAAAAAACAAATATGATTAACTTATTACAATTCTAATTATCTATTTCCTTTTATACTTTTCTATCCACTTTTAAACATGACTCACGTCATATCAAATCTCCAGATTATCTTGTTTTTAGTCACGTAAACACGTATTTTGACTAAAACATTTCTTATGTTGTGGATTAAAATGATTTCCGCACGACCGTTTAATGTTCAATCATGTTTTCTTGACTTCCAGAACAGACAACTGTAAATAATTTCATTTCTATATGGATTTTTTTTTTGCATTATTCCATGGATTTCTTTCTTACAGTTGTCATCAATTCCGTTCATTGTCACCTCTGCATCTTGAATGTCTTAACTGTTAAACTAAATCAACTGTTAAACAAGACGTTAATTGTCAGAATCGACACTTTCATTTATACTGAATTGGTTCATTTTTGTTTTGTTTTGTTTTTTGTTGGCATTGTTTCTTTTTACGGTCATCTGCATAAAAACAAATTGAATAATAATATTTTATTAACATCATATGGAAGAGTGCAGTGTTTCACCACTTTACCAATAACAAATTAAAAAAGAAAAATCTATGATTATTTCCTTCTTTGCAATTTGCATCGGATTGAAAACTCCCTACACATTTACCAATTGTACTCTTATTGTGCTAATTGACGCTGGTTTGCTCCGCTTTTGATTTGCTCTTGCTTACAAAAAAAAAAAACGAGACTCACAAAACGTTTATACGCTAAAGACAAATTATTCTACACGGATTTGATTCTTTCTTTCCTTCATAATTTACATTTTCAATGATGATGATACGTTCTTTTAGTGGCAACATATCTATCTTTATTATTTATTTTATCATCGATAATTGAAGGATACGCGTGCTTTTTTAATTTCTTCGTGTACTCTTTTGTACTAATCTGATTTGATGATGTCTTTTGCATGTCATACGATTGCTATGGTTACAGAAATCTAAGATTGCGTTTTTTTATCATCTAAACTAATTCTAGATGCACGTTAATTTGTTTCCACTATATTTACTAACAATAATTCAATTTACTATTTCCACATTCTAAAGTAAATTTGTTGTTTTTTTGTTGTATTTTCATATATAGAAGGTATTAAATGCAACGCTTGCTTGCTTTAATACTGGATTTCCAATTTCGAACCAGTGAAGTCATAAAAAATTCTTGTATTCTTTTTATCACTGATAAGATGATTTTTGCATTTAATCTTTGACTCTCAACTGTTATCATATTCACTTTTTAGATGAGACATGTTTCCAAGACGATGGCGTCAATATTTACTTTGTTGTTTGTCATGGCGATTTTATTGTTTTCATTTCTTTGTTTTTTTTGTGCTTTTCTTTCGTAATCTCACGTAATTGCTAATTAATTGTACGACTTCCAGTATGAAATAAATTAAAAAAGAAATGCATAATATTTTACTCATTCACGAGAAATCTTATTTTTATACGAAAATTGTCTTACAATTCGTTTGATATTTCGAACGCGACGCTTAAATGTTGTTAGATTTTCATCTGAATCGAAAGTATATGGGTTTTTTTAAGTGAGCATCTCAATTTCAATTGAATCATAAATATATTTCTATTACATTATCTTCACGAATACGATCATAATCGTTACATGTGCTGCGTTTTTATTATACAAATGATATGTTATTTGGAAGGAAATTGTTTGGACATCGATCTATTTGGATTTATTTTCATAAAAAATCTCTTTTCATTTTGGCAGATCACGACGATAGAGGAATTCTTCGATTGCATTTGTGAATCTCGCTTTTAACGTGAATTTTTATCGTTATTTCATCGACGGGACGGGAGTGAGACTTTAACGACCGATCGTTAAGTTTAAAGTGATATTTGAATGTCTTCATCCGGGGGGGAAGCCGTCACAACCACTTTGCAGATTCGTTGTCATTGGATACATAAACATTTTTTTTATGCTTTTTTTTCTTTTCGTGGACGGATGAATGGGCTTCGAAAAGGCCAAATTAATTGACCCAGAAATGCGTATTATTTATGTGAAACACACACACGCACACACACATAAGAAAGCGACAAACAAACTCGTTAATTAAAAATAATTGCACCCACGTTGACAACCGCGTCGCCATCGGCCATTCATTGTTTTGACAAGCTGCATTGAGTATTTGACGTAAGCTGTCAAGGTGAAAGACGCTCTGCATTCAGTACTTGACGTAAACTGTCAGGTTGGAAGACGCTGCTGCTTGCGATCACGATAATAATTGCAAATGGATTTCCTTTTTTTTTATAATGATTAAGGTTATATTTTTTTGGAATGTAAATAATTAATGTTCCTTGTAGTGGAGAGCGGAGTAGAGTAGCTTATCCTGTTTCTATTTTCGGTATGTATTTTTTTTTTCGGCCCGAAGCGCGGACCGATTTAATTAGACATTATTTATATATATTGAATAGTTCGGGGCGCGGCATCGACCGAGCAATCTCCGCCCATTAAATGCGGATACCAGAAAAAGGATGTCTGTCTCTATGCCACATACCTACCTACCTACCTACCTACAACCTATCTATATATCTTCCTACGACGCTTGCCATGGTTTGTGTGTGTGTGTAGGCTTTCTCTTTCTCTTCTTCGCCTTGGCAACGGGCGCCTAGCGACTATGACCATATCTCGCTCGATGATGATGATGCTTAGTAATCGTCTCATTTTACAGTTTTAATTACACTTTCCAAATCGGTTAATAAAAATACCTATATATATATATAAATAAATAAGTATGCATATGAATGTGTGTAATCTAATCGTGGCACCTGTTTTTTTTTTGGTCGTTCCTTCATTCCTTCCTCGAGAACTCGAACCATCTTATTTATGTGATTGCGCCCGATTAATTTGAATTTTATCTCTTCCTTTCGGACCGTAGTTCTACCATCATCATCAAGTCTTGGTCTCGTCCTAATGACTTGACGAAAATATCGTAAAAAGTAAAACAAATTAAATCAATCCATCGGTTAATCTACTTCTGCCTCCCGTCCAATCTAAATAAGCAGTTGAATTCCGTTTAGATAATAAGTGAAAAGCGTACGTTCGAAATAACTCCACTCCACTCGGAAATGTATGTCTGTCTTGTGCAGTTGATTAATCGTCCGATTTATGCGAATCATAAATTATATGACTTTGAGCGAGTTTCGTACACTTGAGCGCATTCTTTTTACGAATTAAAAAAAAACTTCTGCATGTTATGATCAAAGTCTTATTTTCAACTAAGTATTCGAAAAAAATAAAGAAAACTGGAATTTCATTTCGGTTTTTGTTACTATGGTCAGTAAACAAACAAACAAACGTCAACTTTGACGTTGATCTTTTGCTGTCATTTTTTTGACGGTTGGAATATTTTTATTTTGTTCGCGTTTTATTTCATTTTCGTTTTGCATCTTGTATTGTTGTTTGTTTATTTTGTGTTGTTGTTGTCGTTGTTGATGATGATGCAAAGATGAATGAGCTGAAGGGAAAATTCGTGAACATCGTGCTGAGCGTGGAGGAAGGACGCGGCTTCGACTCGGTGAAGAACCCCATGTACGTCACGGCCAACTTCAATGGCCGCGTCATGGAATCGGACGTGGTGGAGGCCCATCCGAACATCATCTTCAACACGGAGATGGTGTGGGAGACGGAGAAGAAGTTATTGCGGAGGGCGAGAGGAGCGTATGCGCGCGTCCGCATCGAGTGCTTCACCACGGAGAAGAGATTCGTGGGGTTCGTGCTGCTGTGCTTGCGGAGCGCTCACATCCTCGCCTCGAGTCGGACCTGCTTGGAGGTGCCGTTCACGTGGAACCGTCTGATCAACGTGCCTAGCGAGTTCAAGAGAGGTACGCCGGAGCTGCACGTCTCCCTCACCATCAGAGACTATCTGACGACCAGCGGCATCGGCGATTTACCGCCGGCCATTCCTCCGCAAACGCTCAGCCCGCCCGACGAGCAGAACGTCAACGATTGCAATCATGACGATGATGATGACGTCGAAGACGAAGGTAATGTCAAGATCGTCGACCATAAGGTGCGAATACCTATAAGGTACGGGAAAAATGGATTCCTGCAGGTGGGGAGAGACGATGAGAAACTGGACAGGTTTCAGCTGAAGATAACGTCGAGGATGGCCTCGAATCTGGACACGCTGCTGCCGGAGAGTTTGGTCTTCAGTCAATCGCCGAAAAAGTACCATCTGTCGTTCGACGTGTTCGGAACGCCGGTGAAGACGCGCACGTTCTCCAGAGATCTACACGAGAACGTGAACGTCAACGAGACTGTAGTGGTTAACCTGTTGAGCAACATGCAGGTGCTTTCCGCGTACTTTCAGCAATTTCCCACCGTCGAAGTGACCTTTTTGAATGATCAGTCGAGTCTGGGGAGGACGCAGGTCGATTTCACCCGCTTCGACTGGGAGATGAAGCAGCACGAGCCGGAGTGGACGAGGATGGAGTTCGAGGAGAATTGCGAATTCGACGGTGCCTGTTCACCAGTGGAAGAAACTCAGCAGCCTCGCCGTCGCACCCCGACATTGGGCGTTAAAGCTCAGGTGGAGAGACTACGCGAAGTCGGACAAGGCGACAAGGAGTTGCTCTCCCCGAAAGTCCGCTACTCGCCATCGCCGCAGTGCGGTGAGCTTTTGATTGAAACGAAGACGCGACCGCAAAGCAACAGCGTGGATCGCGTCAAACCTGCAATAATCAATAAAGAGTCGACGACGACAAACGCCGTCCCGGAGACGGCTATCCTGCAAAGCACTTCTTCGCCTCAGCTGCAACCCAGAACCGACGACAGTTGCCTCGATGTTTTCCAGCAGTTTTGTCTGGATCTGATCGTGGAGAACTTCACGTGGCGCAGACCGCCGCCCGCCAAATCCACGCAATGCTACTTCAACTTTCAACATCCGAAATGCAACGCAATGCTTAGCGTCAAGGCCGATTTGGAGAGGCAGATCAACCGTCGAGTGCAGCTGGAGAGGGTCGTCTGCAAGCTCATATTCATCTCGACCAAAACGCGCGTCAAGCGAATGCTGTGCACGCACTCGCCGCGCATCCACTTGGTGGATTCAAAGAAAACGAGATTGTCTCAAGACTTCGGTATCGATGCGAAATTAATCAGCTTGCTGCATCCCGAACTGACGCAGATGCTGTCGCTGAAGACGCCCAAGGGAGAAGAACTGGCCGACGTCTCCGTCTCGGTGTTCCTGGAGGTGGCCGATCTCGGTGCCTCGTCGCCGAAATCCAACTACGAGCTGCTGCCCACGATCCTGGACGATAGCGTAATTGTATCCGATTTGGCGCAGTTGGAACGTTGGAAGCAGGAGGAGCGCGACAGATTTAAGAACGAGATGGAAGCGCTTCGACGTCGCGAACTGCAAGTGTTGCACAAAGATTGGATTTCGCGAAAGAATAAGTTGGAGAATGATCTTCGAAACAACATCACTCGCTGCAAGAAGCTATCTCGACAGTTGAAGAAAAGTGCGCACCGCGCGATGATCGACAGGACTGTGGAGGCGCGACGCAAATCAGATGGAGGCGGCGGTGACGAAGACGAAGAGGATGAGTTCAATCTGTACATGGAGATACACAAGAACGCCGTCAAGTATTCGCTGTGCGAGACGCACGAGCTGATTGAGAAAATCAGTCGATTGGAGAGGGAGTGCGTGGTGCTCAGAGATTTGCTGGCCGAGCAGGAGCTGGAGATGGACGAGATCAGGAAGGACGCGCTGACCGGTGAGCAGACCCAAACACTTCTGCTCGATCTGAAGCTGCTGGAGGAGAAATACGAGGAGGTGCAGCGCGACAAGAACTACTTCAAATCGGAATGGGAGAAGGCCGTGAAGGAGGTGCACCAGCTCAAGGTCGAGGACCAGAAGAATCTGCAGAGCAAGATCGCCATCGAAAAGGAGCAGCTGAGTCAGCTCAGTCTCGATACGTTCATCACGATCAGCGGACCGGCAGATAACAAATAATAATTATACTGTACACTATTATTACCAATTCATCAATAAATACTTTTTTTCTATTTACAATTATTAGGTTTATTTCATATAATTGTCACACTAATTAATATGTACTAATTAATATGTTGTGTTTCAGCTTGGATGGGTGCCCTCTGCCTGTGCGTGTCCTTTGCTGCGTCGCCGATAGTTGTAGCAGTTTGCAGAAGAAAATCGACTAGATTGGCGTCGGTGTTCGGTGGGCTGCTGTTGGCACTCGCCTGTCTCTTCACCTCTTTCGCGATGCAATTCCACCAGGCGGTGCTCAGCTACGGAGTGGTGCTGGGGGCGGGCGCCGGCATCGTCCGAGAGACCTCCTCTCTGATGTTGGGACATTACTTCAAGAGACGCCGGGAATTCGTCGAGATGGTGGCGCAGGCTGGGACAGGCGTCGGCGTCGCACTCTTCTCCGTTCTCTACAAGGAGGCGGTCGGGTGAGTTGTTATTCAATAAGAAGGTGCGTTAGGACTGCGCAATAAACTTTGGAAAATATTTGAAAAGGAAATTAGGCTGGAGGCTCGGTCTGCAGGCGGTTACCGGTCTTCTGTCGCTTGCCTTCTTCCTCCCCATCGTCTACCGATCAGCGAATCTCTATCATCCGCAGCGAAGGGCCATCACCCACCTAAAGAACCAACGAAAGAAGATGAAGGAGAAGAAGACGCACGCGAAGGTCAAGAAGCCGCCGATGTTTGATTTCACGCCGCTCAAGAGTCGCGGATTGCGCGTTCTCATCCTAGCGAGCAGCTCGGCCGCGCTTGGCATCTACGCACCGATCTTCTATCTGGTAAATAAACATGCATCAATTAAATTTACTTCTTGCGAATTAATCTTTACGTTTTCTTTTCAGTCGTTTCAAGGCTACAGAGAGGGTTTGGAGGATAGCGCTCTGGTGCTTCTTCAGACGTTCCTCGGTTTAGCATCAGCGTTGGGCTGCGTGGGTTTCGGACTCGTTACCGTTAAGCCGAGTCGGCAGTGCCTCATCTCGAGACAGTACCTGTGTCAAGCCGCTCTCGTCGGAATCGGTAAGTCACAGACAACCAGAATAGAATTGCTATATAATAATAATAATTACTTTCAATAGGTCTCAGTCTGCTGGCTTTGAGCGCCGTCCAAGGTTACCACGGCTACGTCCTCTTCGTGTGGCTGTACGGCGTCTGCCTGGGCGGATACAACTACTCGATCAAGATGTACACGCTGGAGAGGATCAGGGCAAGGCACTACACCAAAGCGTGGAGCTTCATCCAGGGTGCCCGTTCGATCCCGGTGCTGATCGGCGTCCCTATCGCCGGATACATCAATCAAACCCATCCCAAGGCCGGCTACTACTTTAGCTTCGTCGCGTCTATAGTCGGAGCGTGCTTGCTTTTCCTGGTCGGCACCAGGAAGGACCAACAGCTGCAGCAGCAGCAGCAACAGAGGCCTCCGTCTCCGTCTGCTCTTTCCGCCGGCGGCTTCCTCGACGAGTGCAACTGCCCGCTGGGAGCGGCCGCTCCTCCCTATCATCCCCATCATCTGGACCACATCTCCTACAACTACTACAGACCCGTGAGCGTCGCCGGCAACCACCATTACGAGCGTCTCTTCGCCACCTACGAACCGTCCTACGACAAGGGCGGCGGTTTGCACAGGCACGCCTCGTCTTCGTTTCGTCACCACAGGCCGGACCATAGCAGCCGCATCCATCAGCAGTACCTGCCGAAGAGTCTAAGCTACGCAGCGAACATCGAGTGTCCTCCGACCACCTACTACATCCACGACTACCAGCAGCAACAGCAGCAGCAGCAGCATCCGGCCTACAGGAATCTGCTGAGACCGAGCAAGAGCGTACCCGAGGGTCTCGCGCGCACCGACTACTACTACCACCATCACCACCACCGGAGGCCTCCAGCCGTACGCAACGTTCAGGTCATCGAACAGATCACAACGTCCGTTTGAAAACGGACGACGTAATTAATTAAACCCATCATTCTAGTCACAAATCATCCAACGCCACACATCCTCTCGCAATAAGTTTCGTGATTGAATTGAACGCCAAAATTGCGAATGCGAAACTACCCTTCCTCTCATCATCATCATCATCATCATCATCCACCCTAAATCGCTCAACTAATCAATTAATTACACTTCAACTTTGGAGTAAATTCGTGCACATCGTGCGCTCGTACCGCTCAATTATCATCGCATTACGTTCGCGAATTTCACCAACTTTGCAAAATTTCATTATTTTTCCAGATCATTTCTTTTATTGTCTCAACTATCGAGTTCCGCAAATTCGTGCCAACGCAGCGAATATTGCATATATAATTAATTCACTGCCAATTAATTTATAATCAACGCTTCCTGGTTCATCGTCAGGCCGAGTCTGCATTTTTTTTTTTGTTTTAAATTAACTACTATTCATTAAAAAGAAGGAAAGAAAAAATAACTCGGACCAGAGTTGCCAAAACTCTCTCGAAATGAAAACACAAAAAAGAAAAAAAACGAACAACTAATTAAAGAAACGCACCAAATAATATTAATAACTATAACGGTATATATATATATATACATTTAATTAATAATTAGTACATTTTAAGTAATTATTATCGAACGGATATCAATTTTTAATTAAGGTTACGAAATCGGAATAACGACGCTTTAATTAATACAACACTAAATATATATATATATATAAATAAAATAAAAACGAACAAATCGCGGTGCGCCCCAACCTCCGGTGTCTTCCGCATTCTCCTGTTTCTCTTATTCGTTTGTTTTAAACTCATCACCATAACAACTCGCAACAAGAAAATTAGTTGTTTTTACGTTTTGTTGATACAGGAAGTTGTTTTCTTGTGGTTGCGATGACGACGATGAGCAGGTAAATAATGGAATGGGTTTCCATGGAAATCCGGTAGATAATAAGCTCAGGTAAACGTACTGGAGGCACCGGCGCCCAATTCCCTTCCCTTTCCTCCCCACACACTATATTTATAATAATAATAGAAAATTTAGAAGAAGTCGAGAGGAGAGGAGAAATTGAGTAGATAGTAGAGTTTAGTGATTTTAGGGCAAATATATAATTGTTCGGATAGAAAGTTAATATATATATATAGAGAGATATAATAGATAGATAGGTGGTAAACATCATCATATTTGGGAACAAAGCTGGAAAAAGTAAATTTTGAGGAAAAAAAAATTATTAATAAATATGTCAATTCTTAATAAACAAATATATATATATGTATATGTATTACTAAGTGATAACGACGAAGTTGTGAGCATGTTTTATTATTATTGTTTGAGATGATTTGAAAAAAAAGAAAAAAAGAAGCAATATATATATATATATGTATATTTAAACAAATGAAACCTATTATATAAGAAAAGATATTATATTTGAGGAGATGTTGAGTGAGATTTAAGAGAGGAATTATGTTTGATTTGTTTTTGTTGTTAATATTGTGTTAATTCTTTTGTGCATATATATATACTATACATATGATATGATGAATTTATATTTTTGAAGGTAGAAGAAGAAGGAGAAGAAGAAAAGAGATAAAACCCTGTTGTTGTTATTATTATTGATAATATTGAAGATGAAAAGAAGAAAGAAGGCGTTGAAGAAGCAAGAAAATAAATGAATAAAAATCGTCTGTTTTTCATTTGTCATCATTGTGTTTTTGTTTTTTAGTTAGAAACGTCAATGGATGTGTCAGGTAAGTGAACTATAGCAATTAGATGATGATGATTGAGATAAATTATAAAAGTTAATTATTGTAGACTTTTGAAGATGGGAAAAGAAGGCGATGAAGAAACGAGAAAATAAATGAACGAAAATCGTCTGTTTTTCATTTGTCATTGTGTTTTTGTTTTTTAGGTAGAGTGGATGTGTCAGGTGAGTGAACTAAAGCGATTAGATGATGATGATTGAGATAAATTATAAAACTTAATGATTGTAGATATTTGAAGATGAGAAAAGAAGGCGATGAAGAAACGAGAAAATAAATGAACGAAAATCGTCTGTTTTTCATTTGTCATTGTGTTTTTGTTTTTTAGTTGGAGTGGATGTGTTAGGTGAGTGAACTAAAGCAATTAGATGATGATGATTGAGATAAATTATAAAAGTTTATGATTGTAGACTTTTGAAGATGGGAAAAGAAGGCGATGAAGAAACGAGAAAATAAATGAATGAAAATCGTCTGGTTTTCATTTGTCATCATTTTTTGTTTGTTTTTTAGGTAGAGTGGATGTGCCAGGCAAGTGAATGATGATGATGATTAAGATAAATTATAAAAGTTAATGATTGTAGACTTTTGAAGATGGGAAGAGAAGGCGATGAAGAAAGGAGAAAATAAATGAATGAAAAAAAAACTTTTGTTTTCTTTAACATGTCAATGTGGAAGTGTTTAGGTAATGATGATGATTAAGATAAATTATAAAAGTTAAGTTAATTGATGGATGTTGAATTTGATTTTCAGATTGATGGATTTGCAAAATTGTTATTGATGGATGGATAAGTTGTGCCGCGGTGAAATCGATTTTCGCTCGAATCTGCGAGCTTTCAGAAGCTTATCTAATCTACTAGACTCAACCTGCATTGTTGTTCTTTTTTTTTTCTGTTGCTGCTATGTTGAGGTGTGTATGTATGTATAGGGATTTGTTAGTTATGCGTGTTGATGAAGCAACAGCAACAAAAACATCAACAACAATGGGAGAGAGAGCTCGTTTGGGAGTGATGTTTGCGCAGTTGTTCATAAATTCAATTAGCCATATGGCCTTTTTACGTTGCAGATAGAGATAGATGATGATGATGATTACGATGATTGAGTTCGATGATGTTATAGAACTGATTTCGATTGCGCTCGAATCAGTTGATGCGAGATGTGCATCCCGTTGGGACCATGCCGAGAGAGGAATGTAACAATCACCGCCACCACCACCTCGTCGATGACGACGTCCACGTCACCGATGGGCAGTGGATTGCTGCAGCTGATGAGCTGGAATCTGACGGCTGAATGCGAGCAGCAGCAGGATGGACAGGACGTCCCACATCCCGACTTCAATACGATCGTGAGTCTCTCTCACCGTTTGAATTCATTCATTCACAACACTCTCTTCTTTCAGATAGACGACTTGTCTAATGTGAGCTTCATCAATGAGCTGTGGGAGGTCGCCTCCACGTCCGAGATCGTCGTGAAGAGCGTCCTGTTCGTGCCGGTCGTGATCTGGGGCATCCTTGGGAATCTGTCGCTCATCTTCGTCGTAGTCAGGAATCGTCATCTGCAATCGCCCACGAATCTGCTCATCTGTAACATGGCCTTGGCGGATCTCCTCTCGCTTCTCATCCATCCGTGGGTCTTCCTCATCAACGATTTCTTTCAGAATTATCAGCTCGGCGAGTTCGGCTGCAAAGTGGAAGCTGCAATAGAATGTGCCCTGCTTCTCACGAGCGTGATGAATCTGTCCGCGATCAGTTACGATCGTCTCACCGCTATCGTTCTCCTGCAGGACACGAAACTGACAGATCGTGGTGTCAAGCTGGTGATGGGCGTCACCTGGATTGCGGGACTGATCATAGCCACGCCTCTGTTCTTCCTGCGAACGTACAAGGAGCGACAGTGGTCGGATTTCCTGGAAAAGTACTGCACGGAAAACACGATCGTGACGAACATCTATTGGCACGTCATCATCACGGTGATGGTGTGGCTTCCACTGATCATCATGCTCGCCTGCTACATCACAATCTTCGTCAAGGTAAGCAATTCAAATCATCTAGTGGGATTTGCTCTAAATTAGCGACGAGATTAGTTGTCCAGGTACGAGAGGGACGTTCGCAGCAGGGCGAGGGCGCGCGCCACCCAAGCTCGGTACAGGGCGAAGGTCGCTAGGACGATGTTCACCGTCGTCATCGTCTTCATCATCTGCCATCTGCCGTTCACCGCGCTCATCTTCTACCGCAACAAGCTGCTCCAGGATCACGTCATCTCGAGCCCCGAGTCCGTGCAGAACGTCGCCAACGGCAACTACCAGATCTTCTGGTTCGTCTCCAAGTACATGATGTTCATCAACGCCGGCGCCAATCCCGTCATCTACGGCCTCCTCAACGAGAAGTTCAGGCGCGTCTTCAAGTCGACGCCCGTCGTCAAGTGGATCTTCCTCTGCCGTCTTCCCTCCAAGAAGCGCGTCACCATCGTCCTCGACGACGACAACAAACCGTGCAAGAGTCCCGGCACCAAGGAAACGGTCGTCGTGGATACCAACAAACCACCGAACAAATTGTTCACCATCTTCAAGACGCCCTTCTACAAGCACACCAATTAATCAATAACGAATATCTGTAATTATATTAAAGAATTTAATGTATTTAATTACAAATCCTGGTCCTCTTATAAGATTCTAATAAAAGTTTTTAAAACTTTTGAATTTGATTATTCCCTCTAAAATGTTACATTTGTGCTGTGTAAGTTGCATATGCTTTTTTCCAATAGGAAATCCTATTGGCAGCACTGAGGCGTATATATGTGTATATCAGTTTTTTTTATTTTTATCATTTTGGTTGCGTTGTGTTCGCTTATGTTTGGAAGTTGATGTTGTGTTGATTTATGGTTTACGATTTGAAAAGTATCATTTTTACGTATTCATCGCAATTTTGGTGAGTTCGAATGTGAATTGTCTATAGATTGGAGATGTGAGCGTGTGGATGTGTGCGTTTCGTTGCTTCCAGCGGATTGACGGGAATCGATTGGACGGGTCGCGGAGCAGTCAGAAAAAACAAACATCGAACATAACCTCAAAGGAAGTGGAGGAGCGAGCTGTATGGGGTATGAGTGGTGGCGTTGACGAAAGAGATGGACTCGAGCGACGATAAGGAGGAAGAGGAGGAGGAGGAGGAAGAACAGGGAATAAAGTTACCCAAAATGAACTGGTGGTTCTACATGAAGTGTCGAGACGAGGCGTCCGCTGGCGAAGAGGTTGTTGCAGGTAAACACAGGATTGTGGAGAGGTACGATTTCGTTAATAGGATCGACGAGGATATGCATCATCATCAGCAGCAGCAGGAGATGATGGTGCCTCAGAGTCCCGAGAGCAAAAAGAAAGATGAGCTGTGTTCGTACCTGCAACTGATGGATCTCAGCAGGAAACCGGATACTACGGATGAGGAAGAGGAGGAGAGGTGCAAGAGCAGACGATCCACAAGGGTTAAGAATCAGATGATCATGAATATGAAGAAGAAGCTAAAGGATAAGTTGGCTGGGAGCAGCAGCGGTAATGACGAGGAGAGCGAAGACGAATTCCGGTGGCCCCCATTTCCGCACGAGAACGTGCCCAACGAACGGGTCAACTTCGATGAGGCGATCAAGGAGATCGTCGATGAGGATGAGCGCGTCGCCGCAGACAAGGAGAACGAGCAGCAGCAGCGCAGGAAACGATTTTTGAGGCGGCTCAAGTTGAGGAAACGATGCAGCAGGCGTCGCAGAATAATACCGAGGAACGAGTTGAGGATTTTCGTCAAGCCTAAAGTTAAAGTGAAGAAGAGGAAGAAGGTGGAGGAGGAAGTGGTGGTAAAGGTGAAGGAGGAAGTCGGTGTTGTGGAAGGGGAGGAGGATGATGACGATGAGGAGGAAGACGTGGTGCGCGTTTGGGATCACGACTACAATCTGAGCCCGGACAACAAGGAATCGTTGAACGGATTGAAGTGCAGGCCGGTCGATAAGAGCAGCGCGCGTTCGTTGCACTCGAATCTGATAAAGAGGAGGCGGCATTTGAAGAGATCCACGTTGGCGGGGGTGTTTGAAAAGTCGTCGCACATGATCGAGGTGTTCGAGGAGGACGGACGGATACTGAACTGCATTTACCATGGCAATCATTTGGTCGTAATACAGACGTATTCGGTGTCGTTCTGGAGCCAGAGCGCTCTCGGTCTCGTCCTGGAGGCGCAGAACATGTGGATCCCGAAGGGGAACATCTGCAGGTTGCCGCTGGACAATGTGTGTCACCTGGTGGAGAGCGCGGACAGCGTATTCTATGCGGAGGGCAACAACTCGTACGCGTACGTCGAGCTGTACACCAAAGAGCACAAATCGGAGAAACGGGAGCGACCGGTGACGGACGTCTTCGTCGTGGTGTATTTTTGGCGGGAACGGCAGAAGGAGCCGGAGAAGAAACTGCTGCAGCTGGAGAACATCGCCAGCCACGCGAAGCACGTCAGATATGTGGCTGTGAAGAGCGCGTGCACGGTGCTGGTGTCCTGGTGGGAGATCGTCTCCGACGAAAAGTGCGTGAGCAAATTGAGAGCGTATCAGCTGTCGTCCGACTATCAGACGGTGTGCGACGTCCGAGAATTGGAATCCGTCGAGTGCCGAATCGAAAGTCTGCACAACATTGAAGATTGCGACAATCTGGTGATGGGATGCGGCGATCAGAACATCAGCGTGTGGAACTGGGAGTTTGGTTACATGGTGGCGACGATGCGCATCGACGACGGCATCCTCTCCGAGCCGCAAACGCAATGGGTCAAATGCGATCAGGTAAGAAAGAAGATTTTCCTATAAGAATAACAACTGAACTGTTTCATTTTCAGGGTTTCCTGTTTGCTATACAGCACTGCAGGAGCAGCGGAGTGATGCGACTGTTGGCCGTGAACGGGATCAACGAGAGCTGGAAACGATTGCAGATCTACAAGCCGATCAGCGGATTCAAAAGGTGTGTGTGTGTGTTTTGCACGAATGCAGAGAAGAGGAAACTTTAATAATAATATGTATGATTTGTGTAGGTTGATGGGAATCTGCGTGGACGGTGGAATATTGGTCGGATTCTACGAGAACGGTGTGCTCTGTTGGAGGGTGCAGACCGGCGATCTGATCATGGACGAGACCAACGATGAGACTATAAAGTACCTGCCTTCTGGGAAGCACGTGATCGCCTATACAGCCTTCACGCAACGGTTGAGCGTTCGAAGTGCGCTCTCCTACTTGATCACCAATTACGATTCGAGCACCGCCGGTGACGGCGGAGGATCGCAGCAAGCGTCCGCTTCGGAAATGCCTCATATCCCGCCCTCATGACATGACCACCAATCAGTAATCAAAATTAATATTATTGTTAAGTAATTAGCCAATGTCAGGCAAGCAGGCAATCATGTATTATGTATGCATATTGTTATTGTTATCGATGAATGGATGAATGAAAGAGTGCGAATAGTACGGATGGATGGATGCAGGCAGGCAGGGAAGATGAGAACAACTATTATCAATCAATCATTCTAATTATGTTTTTGTCGTATATAATAATTCTCCAATTGAAACGTTATTATTGTATATTATTAATAGAAAAATTTAATTTGATTCCGTTCGCCATTTCATTTTATTATCAATCATCATCATTATAATATTGAACAAACAGAAGAATAATCAAACATTCTTTTAACGATTCGCTAAAAAATAAGTAGAAATTATATTCCAAACAGTAAATAGTGTGTGTGTGTGTGTTGTACGACTACAAACTAAAGGTATTTTGTTTTTTATTATTATTATATATATATATGAACAAATTTAAAGAAGATTTGCAAGATGTAAAGAGTAATACGTTTGTTGCATACTACTTCTTGCTGTTGTTGTTGTTATGTTTATCATTTCTTCTTTTCTAATCTTCGAGCGTGACGTTCTTGAATAGATACGACATGGATTCTTTGTTGTGGATCCTGCGGATCGCCTCGGAAAGCATTATGGAAATGTCCACGGTCTTTATCTTGTGACACTGCATCTTTTGCAGCTCATGAGGAATTGTATTTGTGACGACCACCTCGTCTATTGGTGAATCCTCGATGAGTCTGGGTGCATCGGAGGAGAGGAGGCCGTGCGTCGCCAACACGTATATCTTGTAGGCGCCCCTTTCTTTCAACACTTCTGCTGCAGCCACGAACGAATGGACGTCATCGATGAGATCGTCCTTGCAAAGAAAATAATATTGATCGAGTTTGTTTATGACTATGATGATGATAATGATGAAGACTTACGACCATGATGGCGATACGTCCACCCACGTCTCCTACGACGTTGATGGGAGGCTTCTCCTTGGCCGGATGGATGGGCACGCCGACGCCGGCGTCCATGGTGCGAGACCTGGGGATCGTCGGCGGCGAGTAGCGCCCATCCACCTCGTCCGATTCCGCCTCCTTCTGCTCCCCGTGAATCACGGCGATGCCGAGACGCAGACGTTCCGCGTACGAGGTGGCCTTATTGGCGGAGCCCGGATTACGGGCGACGATTATCGAATTCCTATAATCCGGAATCTACAAACAGCAATTGTATTAAATATAATTACATTGCTGCCGTTGTCGCTGTCGGTCAACTCACGCACTCCTGGATGTACTGCAGCAGGAAAGGGCTCGCCCTCAAATTGTCGACGGGGCAATCGAAGAAACCTTGGATTTCCTTCTGGTGCAGGTCCATGGTGATGATATGTGTGAGACCGGAGTTGCACATCATCTTCGCGAGCAATTTGGACACGATGCAGCCGCGCTTCCTCATCTTGCACTGTTTACTGTACGGCAGATACGGGATCACCGCTACGACCGATTTTGCCGAAGACGTTTTGCATGCGTACGCCATGATCAGCAGCTCCATAATATTGTTGTTACAATCCCTAAAACAACAACAACAATCATTAATAAACAATACACTAATATATAGGCAACACAATGATCTCATGTGATCAATTTCAAACGAAATCTTTTGTTTATATAATGTCATCATATAATACATATGCCTATTTGATTATTAATATTACTATTATTATGAGTTGAATTGTCTTACTTGGTTCCGGTTTGTATGATGTAGATGTCCTTGCCACGGACAGAATCCCCAATCTCGACCATCGTCTCCCTGTTGGTCTTGTGGTAGACAGCGCAACCTCCAGATTTGACCCCCAGACGAGCGGAGATCAAGTTGGCCAGCTCCGGATGGGAATTGCCGCTCAGCAGGACGATGTCCGAGGTGATGGGCACGTCCATCTCGATAGACCTCGGCAGCCGGATGCCACCCAATCTAGAAGCAAAAGACATTTTCGCCTTCGGTTCTGCTTCCTCTCAACACAAACTCTCTATGCACTTCTTCTACACACGAATCACAAGATTATGATGATTAGAGGAGACTGAAACTGAACTGAACTGAATACACACTCATCAGATGATGAGCATGACATGCAATCAAGGTCACAGAGGAGTTAACGTTCGTTACGTTGTTAGTAATGTAAGATTGTTATTGCACATACACACATATATATATGTATATATGTGATATCGATATATATATATTTGTCTAATCTACCTCGCTTTCTTTGTAAACATTACACAGGCCGGATCTAGTGTCCTCTTTCTTTATCTCTATCTCGTCGTTTCTTCCCTCACGCGCACACAGCACAGACACTCTCCTGTACTTTCGTAACTGCTCTCGTTACGATAAAAAATATCACTTCTGATTGCTTGCTTGCTTCTGCTCCTCCTCAGGTATTATATTGCCGTGGGTTTCGATTTTTTCGCTGTTGCGAAAAAAAAAAACAAACGACTATGTATCAACAAAAAAAAAAGTTCTCTCACCTTGCGCACCTAACTTCACCTCATTAATCTCATCGAAGACGGCCGAGAAATAACAATCGTACATACATTTAGTACGACAGATTGCAATAGTTTAAGAATGAGGATGGGGTACAGGTATATCGGCGATTAAGCCCTTAACACCAGAAGGTTCGGTTAGGTTTGCAGATGTCTGCTCCATCTCGTGGTTTTTTCCTATTCGAGTCGGTAATGCAGATCATACGTTTTACCACCGGTTAACGGACAATAATTGACGCATTTCGTTGTTGTTTATACGCGATCCGCAATATCAATCGGCCGTGCTTTGGTTCCCATGGTAACGAGGCGAAAGTTTGCAGAGCACTTGTCTGGTCGAGTCAAACAATGGATTCGCACAATTGTTGATCAGCGCGCGTCCGACTTTCCCTTCTTGCAATTCGAGCTTATCCAATTAGAATCTGCTCGCTGCTGCTGTTGCTGTTACCGCCGAAGATATTCGTCCTGCTGTTGCTGCTGCTTCTGCTGCAGGTGAGTGAGTACCAGAAAGGGGGGTCTTCTCTTTCGCTATGATCCAGCAGTGCCGCTGCCATCGCCATGGGTGCCTGTCTGACATTGGAGCGAGAGGAGGACTTGGCGAGGCGTCGCAGCGAGGAGATCGACAAGCAGATCGAGGAGCACGCCAAGAAGAAGAATAACGTCATCAAGATACTGCTGTTAGGTAGGTAACCTTGGTAACCATCACCAAGACACTAACAACAACAACCTGTTGATGATCATCACTAACAGCTTATCATTCTTGTCTTCTTCAGGCGCCGGAGAGAGTGGCAAGAGCACCCTGGTGAAACAGATGAAGATCATACATGCGGATGGCTTCACACTGGCAGAGCTGAGCAGCTTCAGACCCACCGTCTTGGATAATCTGCTGGCTTCCATGAAGTACGTCCTTGCTGGTATGGGACTGCTGAGAATCAACTTGGAATTGTCGCGGAATAAGGTGAGAGTGCGAATAATCGAGATGTGCGTGAACAATTGTAACAATTATTATCCACCTTCAGGTGCATGCACAGGTGGTGCTGCAGAGCAGGAGCTGCTTCGACATGAGTTTCACGGTGCTTCCGAACGTCGCGGCCTCCTTGCAAGCGCTGTGGTCGGACCGTGGCGTGAGATTATGCGTTGCCAGGGGATACGAATACGAGTTGAACGATTCGGCACTCTAGTAAGTCGAGTAAGTCGAAAAGATCGCAACTGTGTAACTTGTTAGTTTTCAGTTTGTTCGAGAATATGGAGAGGATTTGCGATCCGAAGTACATACCGACGCCGACGGACGTGCTGAGAGCCAGGGTTCGAACCCAAGGTATAATAGAGACGCATTTCCGTATCAACGATATGATCGTCAGTATGTACGACGTCGGTGGGCAGAGGTCTCAGCGCAGGAAATGGATCTACTGCTTCGACGACGTCCGGGCCGTACTTTTCGTCGTCTCCTTGAGCGGTTACGACATGACACTCTTGGTGAGTTGATCGCAACAAATCCCTTTATATACTTATATGCGATTCTGCAGGAGGATTCGTCCGTTAATCGCCTGGTGGAAAGCTTGAATCTCTTCGGGCAAATCGTCAACAATCCATTTTTCCGCGAAGCTTCCTTCGTCCTCTTCATGAACAAATTCGATCTCTTTCGGGATAAAATTCTGCACTCCAACAGGCATCTGCGTCTCTACTTCACCGAATACAGAGGTTCGTCTCTCTACATATCTAACTTGAGCCGTTTATTAATATCGCTGAACTTTATAGGACCAGACAGGGATGTGGACAGAGCTGCACTCTTTATCCAGCACAAATTCACGATGCGCAGCACCGACTCGAGGAAGGTGCTCTATCCACATTTCACCACTGCCACGGACACGGCCAACGTTCAGGTCGTCTTCCAGGCGGTCATGGAGATGGTCATCTCCGACAATCTGGGGCAAGTGACGTTACTCTGAAGATTTCCCCCCCCACATCAAAATGGACCAATCATCATCATCAGAGGATATAGTTTATATAAGTAACATTTAAGCATACAGAGTTTCTCGCTTCTTTAAGCCGACGCATCCGCTGCAAAAGTTAATTAATATTGAAAAGAAATTGCGGATGTTGGCTTTACGCGCGAAGATATAAAACAAACAAAAAAACACGTGATTTACGTACCTTGAACCGTTTGGATCTCAGATCGTTAGTAATTTATGATGTGTATAGATATTATTATTATTATTGTTTAAGCGCGGAATATTTAATATTTGTCGCGCTCGGATTTCCTTACTTTTGTACTTTCTGTGATAGACACGTGGCCTTACTACTACTACTACTGCTAATCATGAGTAGTAAGAGATTCATTATTTCAATCGAACGCGAAGATTGTTTTATATTTAACATTTAAGAGTATCTAGTTTTAAGCTCGCTTCACATGAGGATAAAGAAAATGTTTCGAATTAGAATTTGTAGTGTCATGAGCATATATGAGATATTGTTCATAAGTGCCACTTGCTCGTGATGACCAATTGATATGTAAAGCGATTCATCATAGACAATAAGGAGAATCTCACCACTTCGACTAGCAATCGGTGAGCAATGTACATATACTTCCATGTTTACAGATATTAAGAAATTATAAATATTTTTATATATATATATATTAAATGCAATACTGAAAAGTCCAATTAGACCTTTCAAAAAAAACATATACTTTCCTATTCCTATTGCACTTTAAATTAGCCCTCTGCAGTAATTACGAATTTCACCGGCAGATGTCGCCTCGGTATTAATTTTTAATTTGAATCAGTTGGTACGTCCTAATGCGCTGGCGTGGGTAAGCCGCAAGGTGGACTCGCTCAGTCGCAGTTCGATTATTATCACGTGAGTTCGAGTTTTGAATGTTCGAAAAAAGTTGTGTGAATCAAGAGAAATGCAGTGAATCGTCGCGAATTTCATCAATCCAATACGATTGCAATTGAGCCGTGAGTAGATCATTATTTCTATGTCGTGAAGTTTTGCGTTGTATCATATGAAAGTTATTATTAATTGACCCGTAAATTCGGTTGTGAAATGCGACGCAATTCAAAATGGCGAAATGACGCTTCTTTTTTTTTGTTTGTTATTGCCAATTCTTTTATTTCATTGCTAGGTACCCCTATAGGAATTACAATTAATGCATATCAATATATGTTGTTATAAATGTGTCAATTTGGGGTACCCCTAAACCGCCAATAAAAACCCGCGAAATATGCAACGCTGTGATTGGTCGACTAGCACGATCACCGGCGCGTCAAGACGTGTACACGTGCGTTTTCCGATTCAAACATTCGAAATAGTTACGAAAGTGTTGAAAGTTTATTGAATTTAGTTCCTAATGTAAGGCAGATGGAGGGAAAATCGCTCGGCTTTTTAATTAGTGAGTAATTTTCAATTTTCGTAATTATTACAACGCATTTTTTTTTAAAGTGAATTCGTGAATTTATAATTTATTCGCAGATGCAAGTTTTTATCTTTTGTTCTAGAATTCTGTTTTTTTATTGAATCTAATGTATTTTCTATTTCTTATCGGAATACGTTTATAATTTATTCGCAGCTGCAAGTTTTATCTCTTTTTTTTGTTTGTGCAGTGGGTTTTGTTCTTCTAGAATTCTATTTTTTTTGATTTATAAATCTAATACATTTTCTATTTCTTATCGGAATACGTTTATAATTTATTCACAGCTGCAAGTTTTATCTCGTTTCGTTTTTTTTTGTTGCAGTTTGTTGAACACCTGCGTTTAAAAATGCGTGGCGCTGATTGGCCGAGACGCATCTCCCGATCGGATCACCATGGAAATGCACGCAGTCGTTTGTTGTGCGTAGCCGCGAACACATCGCCGACCTGCGTCTCCCAAGAAAATTCAACATTGTACATTCATCCGCCGCCGCAATTAACAAAGGTTAGTGCATTGATACAATAATTAACCTCAACTACTGATTGCCGTAATTCCCCGTTCTGTATTATTATTAATTTGTGCCGCAAATTTGATTTACAATTACGCATTTCGAAATGACGCGTCGCATCCATTTTGAAATTTTCAACAACTTTTTTTTCCGCACAACAAAATTTCATATGCAATAAACGCCAATTCACGTCTTTGCAAATTCGATAACATATTAATTCCATATTACTTAATCATAATTGCTTTACGCGATTGAATGTAAATAAACGCAATAATCAATGTTTTCCAATTAGATGTAAGCGTCCTCTATCGTCGAATCGATCAAACACTTTGATCTCGGTTACTGCTGCGTCGGCGTGCGTTGGCTCATTAATCGTTCGGTTTTGAATATATACATCGACATTATTATTTTTATATTA